ATATTAGTGTCTTCTTAAAGAGACAGTAATATACGAGTTTTGACCAAACCCAAAAATATATAATACTAAAAGAACAAGCGAAACTTCTCCCTTAGGTTATTCTTATTATTACAAGGAATAAAATGTTTGGTTACCAAATTTACTCTGGCTAGGGAAAAATAATTTATTTAAGTTTTCAATAATAGAATACAACTATTTTGCCTACAAATCTTAAATTGAAGTATTCATAAAAATGACCGTATTTTGGATATTTTCAATAATAATCCAAAATTCTGGCTTGGAAAAAGTCTTATTATATTTGTAAGATTTATTATTAAAGGATCTATTTTCAATGGTAGGACAATATTCATATAATTTAAAAATTAAACTAAAATGAAATTTGAATTATTCTCATTTTTATAAGGATCATTTCAAAGTTTTTATTATGTTGCTCATTCAACCTATTAAAACTTAACACAAAAAAATGTTGCTAAGATTAAAATCACAAGAATTGACTTTTTCTTTATATAAATATTAAAATAGAAAAAATTATCCCTATAACTTAAGTTAGTACAAATATTAAAAATTCTACTTTGTAATTCAATAAAAAGAAATAAAGAAATATTTATCATAAGAAATTTTTGCATGAGCTCTTTCTTGATAGGATATTCAAAATATACTTCTGTATAAACATTCAAAGTCTTAAATTAAGCCCTTTATTTTAGTATAAAAAATGTCATAATTAATTAAAGTTGGTTAAAGAAAAAAATATATTTTAGTTATAAATTATTCTTTATAATCATAAAAATTGAAATTTTATATGGCTTGCTTAAATACATAATATGAGGAAATAAAGCTTGCGCTATTGAATATGGTATGTGAATACAAACAATTCTCAAATCAAATGATAAACAGGCAACATGAAAAAGTTAAAAAAGCTGAAACAAGTTCAATATTTCTAATTTATATTTCTTTTAGTTTTAAGAAATAACAGAATAAAGTGGCTAAGAAGATATATGCCAGAAATTAAAAATTAATATATATTAATCCCTGAGAGTTTGAATCGCCAAAATGAACCCCTATAAAAGCAGAAAACTTGCACTGATTAAACAACCTAAAACGACAATGATGGGAATGCTCAAATCTATGGTTTGAAATTATCTATCATTTTTCAGGAACCATTTTATAAGAAATAGAAAATTTTCTAGTAGCCTAGCATTTTAGTTTGATCCCAACATAAGAATAAATTAATTCTAATAGATGTATATAACTCAAATAAATTATTTAAGGAGAGACTTTACATTTATTGTTTTTTAATATAAATCTATCTATAATGAAAAATATTCAATTAAAGGAGGCTTTGCTCGCAATTGATGAGACAATTAAAAATACTCTAGTAATCCAAGAAATTATGAATTAAAATGCAGAATTAATAATTGATGCAAATGTTTTATTGTGGTTTTGCAAATCATAAATTTCTACTATTCATGAACCGGCTTACGGAGGCACTAGAATTTGCAGAAAAAGCAATAGCAAATGATTCCTAAAATGCTAATAATGATGCGAAAAAAGGTTAATATTATTAATTATATTCATTTAGCTTACATTTTATAACTCTGTCATCGTTACTATAGCTGAAACGAGGCTTAGATGCTTTAGAGTATTTCTATATAGCTATTTAAAAAGCCCCTTGATGAATATGAATTCGAAGTTAGAAAAGGTATCCATCAATTAAAATTAGCAAATACTTTAGGAATCAATCAACAAATTTTTAGACTTTATTACATTTGAATAGATTTGATGAATGTTAATCCAGTTATAATGTTGCCATATAAAAGAGGAAAAATAAACCAGAATAAAATTCAGAAAAAGGCAAATATATTTAATAACATTAAAGCTAATACATTAAGAATACAAAAAAAAAACAATGAAGCTTTGATTTAATATGATAAGGCTATTGAGCTGGATTCTTAATAACCTAGTTTTAATTCAGGAAAAGGTTGAATTATATTTCATAAATATAGCTCATACATTATCAGTAAGGAACTCTATATTCATTTCATACAAGAAATGAACCGGCTCGAAGAAGCCTAATTAGAATGGTAAAAAGCAATAGATATAGAGTCATCTAATTCTAATTATTATTCTGGAAGAGGTAAATTAATCTTTCTATTTTAGCATACACTTTAAGATAGTTGAATCGAAATGAAGAAGCCATAATATCTTATGATTTAGTAATTTAAAGGAATCCTTAAAACTATGAGCATCCCTCAGGAAAAGGTTAAATTATCATTTTTAAATTAAGGCTATTCGCTAAGATAATAGCAAAGAAACATAGAAGCCATAGATTCTTTCGATTCTGCAATAAGCATCTATGCTGATGATGCATATATCTATGCATGAAAAGGTAAATCAATAAACTCAAAATTAGGCCTCGCCTTAAGAGAGATGATTAGCTATCCAGAAGCATTGAAATGTTTCGAATAAGCTATTGAAAAAAATCCAGAAGATTATGAGTACTTTATTGATAAAAGTTTTTCTTAAAACTTATGAATTAGCTGACACTTTAAGATCCATGAATAAGGCTAAGGAAGCTCTGGATTCTTATAATCAAGCTATTCAAAGATTTCCTAAAGATGAAAGAATTTACGGAGCAAAAGGTAAACTAACCTAATACTCTTTTATAGCATAGGCATTATGTCTTCAGAAAATTATGATGAAGCTCTGAAATACTTTGATAAAGCAATTTAAATGAATCCACAAAATCCAAGTTTTTATGCAGGAAAAGGTTGACACTAATTAATACCGAAATAGGTGACACTCTAAGAGATATGAATCGTTATTAGGATTCTTTAAAATAAGTTGATCAAGCAATTCACTACAATCCTGAAAATTCATTTTATTATGGAGCCAAAGGTAAAACCTAGTTTTATAATCCAAGCGAATGCATTGATGTGTAGCAATTATTATGATGAATTGTACGACACCTCAATCAATTTGAGGAAGTGCTAAAATATGCCGACTTTGCTATAAATTGGAATCCAAATATAGCTGATAATTATGAGCTAAAATGTAAATCACTATTTGACAATTACTAGCAAATATTTTAAAATACTAGCTAAAGATTAATGAGGCTTTGAAATTTTTTGATGAGGTATGCAGAAAAAGGTATTTATATCTTAATTAATATTAACTTCAGCTACACTTTAAACTAAATTCCACTTGTAAATTAATAATAAGAGCACTTAATTGAAATGAATAGGCCTTGAAATATTGCTCTATTGCTCTTAATAAAGGATCATATAACCACAATTATATCTTAATAAAATGGTATAAATGACTTTATTCTCATAGTGATTACCTTATTATAGATGTGTCGCTGGAGAGAATCATCAGAATTATATAAAAATTATAATACATATGTCCAAATTAGGAATTTCTGAATCAAATAAATAGTAAATTTACAAATGTATTTTTAGGGAGTATAATAATTTAAATGGAGTAATTTTTGTTAGCGCTATGGTCAATGATTGAAATATATTTTAAAAGCAATATAAATTATGAATCATTAGAAAATAACTTATATATTCATCTAATTGAATACTAAAGCTTTAAATTAGAATAAGGATTATACTCAATATTTGGTGTTGTTGCCACATTCAAATTTTTTCACTATTTTATAATTATTCCAAGTTTTTATCCCTCTATTGTGTATTAATAGATGATCCTCTTTCTAAGGACACTCTAAACACTACTAACAGCTAAAATATTCATAGCCAATAACTCTTTTACAGCTTTTATAAAAACTCTACTACACCTTTTTTTTCTTTCTTATTATGTCTTTAGTTAAATTCGACATTCATTTTTTTAATCTCTCAGGTTCGATATATTTGTTATTCATAATCCAATATTGCCTTGTAAAGGGTTTAAATCTTTTGGTTCTCCATATTAAATTTTGACTATCCAATGAGCCTATCAATTTGATCAAACCCAAACTTCTATTCCATATAGCTGTGTTAACAAATCATAATAGTCTACAAAATAAGCTTTCCATTAGGCAAAACCTAAACGTAAATAACCTGGAAAAGAAAAGATTAGTAGTGTGCTTATTCAATAGAATTAGCTTAAAAATTTTCAAATTATTATTAATTAACTTATGGTTTTATACATTTGAAATGAAACTAAAAACGATCAATCTAGAGTATTAGTCCAAAAATATTCTCATCTAAATTCTGTTATTGATTGATTAGAGAAGATATAAGAGTACTTCTGATATATTTGAATTATGTATTGAAAGTAATTTGAAATAATCAAAGATATTAAATTATTATATCGATACTTTTGTCATGAAATCAAAACATTAGGAACTTTTCTTTTCCATCACTTTTTTTACTTGAGGCATTTTAAGAATTGAAATTTTCTCTAAAGCGACATTTCTAATTGCTAATTAAAAATCTCTTCGACTTAGCCTTATAATTATAGAAATATATACTGCTTCATATTAAACATGATTTGGATTTGCTNCCTAGTTTTAATTCAGGAAAAGGTTGAATTATATTTCATAAATATAGCTCATACATTACAAGAAATGAACCGGCTCGAAGAAGCCTAATTAGAATGGTAAAAAGCAATAGATATAGAGTCATCTAATTCTAATTATTATTCTGGAAGAGGTAAATTAATCTTTCTATTTTAGCATACACTTTAAGATAGTTGAATCGAAATGAAGAAGCCATAATATCTTATGATTTAGTAATTTAAAGGAATCCTTAAAACTATGAGCATCCCTCAGGAAAAGGTTAAATTATCATTTTTAAATTAAGGCTATTCGCTAAGATAATAGCAAAGAAACATAGAAGCCATAGATTCTTTCGATTCTGCAATAAGCATCTATGCTGATGATGCATATATCTATGCATGAAAAGGTAAATCAATAAACTCAAAATTAGGCCTCGCCTTAAGAGAGATGATTAGCTATCCAGAAGCATTGAAATGTTTCGAATAAGCTATTGAAAAAAATCCAGAAGATTATGAGTACTTTATTGATAAAAGTTTTTCTTAAAACTTATGAATTAGCTGACACTTTAAGATCCATGAATAAGGCTAAGGAAGCTCTGGATTCTTATAATCAAGCTATTCAAAGATTTCCTAAAGATGAAAGAATTTACGGAGCAAAAGGTAAACTAACCTAATACTCTTTTATAGCATAGGCATTATGTCTTCAGAAAATTATGATGAAGCTCTGAAATACTTTGATAAAGCAATTTAAATGAATCCACAAAATCCAAGTTTTTATGCAGGAAAAGGTTGACACTAATTAATACCGAAATAGGTGACACTCTAAGAGATATGAATCGTTATTAGGATTCTTTAAAATAAGTTGATCAAGCAATTCACTACAATCCTGAAAATTCATTTTATTATGGAGCCAAAGGTAAAACCTAGTTTTATAATCCAAGCGAATGCATTGATGTGTAGCAATTATTATGATGAATTGTACGACACCTCAATCAATTTGAGGAAGTGCTAAAATATGCCGACTTTGCTATAAATTGGAATCCAAATATAGCTGATAATTATGAGCTAAAATGTAAATCACTATTTGACAATTACTAGCAAATATTTTAAAATACTAGCTAAAGATTAATGAGGCTTTGAAATTTTTTGATGAGGTATGCAGAAAAAGGTATTTATATCTTAATTAATATTAACTTCAGCTACACTTTAAACTAAATTCCACTTGTAAATTAATAATAAGAGCACTTAATTGAAATGAATAGGCCTTGAAATATTGCTCTATTGCTCTTAATAAAGGATCATATAACCACAATTATATCTTAATAAAATGGTATAAATGACTTTATTCTCATAGTGATTACCTTATTTTCAAATTAGCTTTTATTTCCTTTTATTATAGATGTGTCGCTGGAGAGAATCATCAGAATTATATAAAAATTATAATACATATGTCCAAATTAGGAATTTCTGAATCAAATAAATAGTAAATTTACAAATGTATTTTTAGGGAGTATAATAATTTAAATGGAGTAATTTTTGTTAGCGCTATGGTCAATGATTGAAATATATTTTAAAAGCAATATAAATTATGAATCATTAGAAAATAACTTATATATTCATCTAATTGAATACTAAAGCTTTAAATTAGAATAAGGATTATACTCAATATTTGGTGTTGTTGCCACATTCAAATTTTTTCACTATTTTATAATTATTCCAAGTTTTTATCCCTCTATTGTGTATTAATAGATGATCCTCTTTCTAAGGACACTCTAAACACTACTAACAGCTAAAATATTCATAGCCAATAACTCTTTTACAGCTTTTATAAAAACTCTACTACACCTTTTTTTTCTTTCTTATTATGTCTTTAGTTAAATTCGACATTCATTTTTTTAATCTCTCAGGTTCGATATATTTGTTATTCATAATCCAATATTGCCTTGTAAAGGGTTTAAATCTTTTGGTTCTCCATATTAAATTTTGACTATCCAATGAGCCTATCAATTTGATCAAACCCAAACTTCTATTCCATATAGCTGTGTTAACAAATCATAATAGTCTACAAAATAAGCTTTCCATTAGGCAAAACCTAAACGTAAATAACCTGGAAAAGAAAAGATTAGTAGTGTGCTTATTCAATAGAATTAGCTTAAAAATTTTCAAATTATTATTAATTAACTTATGGTTTTATACATTTGAAATGAAACTAAAAACGATCAATCTAGAGTATTAGTCCAAAAATATTCTCATCTAAATTCTGTTATTGATTGATTAGAGAAGATATAAGAGTACTTCTGATATATTTGAATTATGTATTGAAAGTAATTTGAAATAATCAAAGATATTAAATTATTATATCGATACTTTTGTCATGAAATCAAAACATTAGGAACTTTTCTTTTCCATCACTTTTTTTACTTGAGGCATTTTAAGAATTGAAATTTTCTCTAAAGCGACATTTCTAATTGCTAATTAAAAATCTCTTCGACTTAGCCTTATAATTATAGAAATATATACTGCTTCATATTAAACATGATTTGGATTTGCTACGTTTCTCATCTCTTTATTATTTCCAACAAATATTTTTGGTACTAATTTTAATTCAGGAGTTTCCAAATCATAGTACCATTTAGTGAATGCATTTTAGAAGCTTTCTTGATCAATAGATGAGGATGATTAAAAAGACATCAGCAAAACCATAACTCAATCACCTTAGTTTGTTATATGTTTCTTATCCTGCAGTATCCCATAAAAATTAACTGTCTTGCCTTCAAAAGCTGTTTAAATAGTACAATTTTCAAAGACCTAAGGGACATAATTTTTGATAACTTATCCTTTATGTAACTAAAGTTAATTAAGGAAATACCTCAATAGTATGTCATGTTTGCCAACATCACCATCACCTAAGGCAACTAACTTTATTGAAATCGAATTTTTTTCTGACATCTCACAAAATTTATATTTAATAATTAAATATATCCTTTGAACATTTTAGTAATGCTGTAAGGCAATTGTAAAATTTATGTTTGAGAAGGTATGCAGAGTGAAATCTTAAATTATGGTCTGCTTTTGGTTATATTCTAATGATTATATAAAATAATATTTTTTTAAAAAACGGGAAAATGCACAAAAAATTTAATACATACAAATAATAATTAATAAAAAAATAAAATTATAATTCAAATAAAATTCTCACACGTATAATGATCTCCTTTATTGCTTTTCATACTTTGATGCACGCAGAGTTTGACATTATAATAATGATGTTAATATACATCAATTTATGAAATATAAAACTCTAAATTAGTTATTGAATTTGATTTTTGGTAAAGACAATGGGTATAATTTATTAACTGCTTTTGAGCTCTGCCTTTAATTTACTACTTTATTGTTTTCCAATTAGCATTCGAGAATGTAAAATCTGTATCATCTTTTAAGAAGCACAAAATTTAAGATCCGACAGTAGTAAAACAATGAAGGAGTTTTGCACAAAAAAAATTGAAGTTCAAATCAATTTAGACCATTCCTTATCTTACAAGAATTTCTAAAAGTGTTGGCTAAGCCGGGCATATGACTGTCCCTAGAAGACCAGTAATATCATCGGGTTAATGGATAGGCTTACTCCATACACGCAAAACCTAAATTCCCGGCGAGGTTAGGCTTTACTATATAGTTATTATCTATTAGTGTATTATTCTAGGGGCCATTAGAAAAATACAAATTTGAAGATAGGCTTTGGCATTGGCGAATAGACAGGGAATGTAATTGTGGTTTGCCCTAATACACAAAAATTAGTATAATTGTAATAGATGAAAATATTATCAATGTTCATGCTTCTATTCAATTTATTAAAAAGAAAAATATTAAAATAATTTTATCCTAAAACTACAGAATTGTATTTTTGTTATTTATATAATATCAGAAGAGAATTGTAGCATTTTATAAAAAATTAACAGTTGAGATCATAAAACAAATATAAAGTCCCAATATATATCTATATTTCAAAAAATTAAATCACCCATTGATAAAAGATAGATTTATGCTTTTTCTTTGCCAAATAATAATAATTGTACAGATTACTATGTTATTTTAAAGACTCACCTTGAAAATAGTAATTTTTTTTTAAACTGATGTGGTAATAATTAACTTGTTCTACTTTAACAGGTGGCTGCTATAACTGCTTAGATTACTAGATTAAAAATTAAGAATATATATATAATGATTAAAAAATATAGTTCACTAACTGTTATATATTTGAATTTACAAGTCTTGCTAATATCTTTGCGCTATTTGCATTTTTTTGTGCATCAGTAATAATAATAATAGCTTTAATCATCCCTTTTCTACTTGGGTACGAACATTAGGCTTCACTTAAGGACTTTATTTTTAATTTTGTTTGTGAAAAATTATGAAGATAAATGAAAACCATGATACTGCAACAATCCTATAAATTTGCAATATTAAGCTGACATGCATTAAAACTGAAACCTTTAACTAATTGCTTAGCTTTTTTGAGAGCCACAGAACATTAATTATAATTCTCTTCTATGCCAAATTACGAAACATAAAACAATAAATTAATTTCATTTTATTTATCATTACTATGTTGTTGAAGTATGTCAGACTCCGCTTCAGTGAATGCTTGTAGACTAGCTAGATTGATGCAAAACACTAAACTAAAGCAAATAAAATAACTTAACCTCTGATTCAATTTTTTTTTTCAATTTATAATCATTTTCTATTTCTAATTTATGTTTAATTTTCAATTTTATAAAACTCAAGGCAAAATAAAAGAAATTTATTATTAATTTGAAAAGAATATGAATTGCAAAAATGAGTAGGGGCAAGATTTGTATGGGGTTTTGGCTTTGGCAAAGGACGTGAATGAATTAGTCTTCCATAGCCTAATTAAAATATTCAGAAGAGAGAAAATTTAAGACTGTCTAGATTTTCTCCAATAAAGTCTAAACCAAAGTCACGTCAAATAAGAAATGTTAGAGGTAGGAAGTTATTCACATTTGGAAAAGCTATAGATGCTTAATGTTAATATGAATGACATTAAGAAAATAGCAATTGTTCTCAATACTATTAAGGATCATGAACTTAATAGAGAAAATTACTCAGTTGAAAAATATAAATAAATTAAATAAAACCTGATCACAAAAATATCATAAGATGTGAAGATATAAGAACTTTTTAAATTCTTAGTTCAACTAACCTCTGTAGATGACAATTACATATAGTGTGGATCAAATTCTTTACATTTATTAGTTGAAATGAAGGTTGATTTAAGGGAATAATCTTTTGAAAATATTAGAATTAGAAATACTTCATTGATAAGAGCAAAGTTGGTGAGATGTGACTTAAGTGGGTCTGAATTTGATAATGTCATTATTAGAGGAATAAATTTGAATGGAGCTAAATTGTTTAATTGTAAATGGAGGAATTTAGGTATAAATGAGGGTATTTTGTTAAATGGCCATGTTGGCAAAATCAATTCAGTTTGCTTTTCTCGAGATAGTAATTATCTAGCTTCTTGCAGTGATGATAAAACAATTCGCTTGTGGGATATGAAAACAGGATATATAAAGTCTGTATTAAAAGGAAAGAGCTAGGTAAATTAGGCATGTTTCTCACCTAACAGTACAACATTAGCTTCTTGTAACGACTAATTTGTTTATTTATGGAATTTAAAAACTAATAGATGTATAAATAAATTAGTTGGTCACAATCGTCAGGTAAATACAATTTGTTTATTTTCTGATGGTACTACATTAGCATCTGGTAGTTCAGATAAATCTATCCGTTTATGGGATGTTAAGACAAGATAATAACAAACCAGATTAGAAGGTCATAATAGTGCTGTATGGTCAGTTTGTTTCTCTCTTGATGGTACTACATTAGCATCTGGCAGTGGAGAATATAAAGGTAATGAGTGCTCTATCCGTTTGTGGGATGTTAAAACAGGATTGTAAAAAGCAAAATTCGATTGTCAAAATGATTATGTACTATCAGTTTGCTTCTCTCCTGATTCTACAACATTAGCAAGTGGAGGTGATGATAACGCTATTCGTTTATGGGATTTTAAGACAGGATAATAAAAAGCCAAATTAGATGGTCATTCTAATACAGTTTATTCAATTTGTTACTCTCCTGATGGTACTAAATTAGCATCAGGTAGTTCTGATAACTCTATCCGATTATGGGATGTTAAGACAGGATAATAAAAAGCAAAATTCGATGGTCATACTAGTTATGTTTATTCAGTTTGTTGCTCTATTGATGGCACTACTTTAGCATCTGGTTCCGATGATAACTCCATCCGTTTATGGGATGTAAAAACAGAACTACAAATCTTGCCTACAAATAATCTGTCCAATGATAAAATGCTAGCATCAATTTAACCCCCTATCTTTCCAGAAATGGATCTTACAGAAAATAGTATTTATTTTTTATATTATTAGTTACCCCCAAACTTTCTATTCAACAGATTTCCTAAAATCCCTATTTAGAGGCTTCAGGAGCCTTAATCATGAAAGGAGAATTCGTAAATTATTAAGAAATAGAGTTACTATCATTGTTCAAATCTAAAGGTAGTTTGATTTTAGAAGGCCAAACAGGACAACAATACAATTGATTATTCAAAATAAAGTTTTACAATTGAATACATTATCAATTCAGTTTTTACAAACTAACCAAATTTTACCGCTTTTCTGTAGTATATCATACAAGGTCTAAATAATAGCAATTTAGAAGTTCTCAAAAAGATCTTAAAAAAATATATTAATTATCTTGAAAGTTGAATCATTAATGCGGTGGGGCTGTAATACTGATGTTTTAACTCAGGAATCTTGTTACAGTATTGGGGAGGGTTTAATAATTTGTTTTTGTATTTTCTTTTATTTACTTAGGAGCCAAACTATTCACTAGGCCAAGTCTCTGTTTCCAAATCTAAGGGTTTTTCATTGCTCAAACCCTAATACATAGAAGGCTAGATGTTTTAAAAAGGTTCGTATAAACCAAACTCTTAATATTACTGCAAGGCAAATCAAAATTCCTAATTGCTCACTTTAAGGATGTTTATTTTTAAATTAAAATATGTAAGTAAATCGTTTTAGAAAATTATTTTCGTTTCAATTAGTGCACCTATCTAGTTTCAGTAATGTTTTTGTATAGCCCATTCTTCAGGCGTAATAGATTTTCGTTTTAGAATTCGAATATCAATGAATTATAAATTTATTATAATATTTAATAAATTAATTGATTCTTAATTAAAACTGAATAGTGTTATAAAAATAGATTATCCTTGTTCAATAGCTAATATATATGAAATACAGGCATATAGAATTAACCTAAATAATTTTTCTATATTTAAAAGGATTCGAAAATTCATATTCTTAAAGAGTAAAATTATAGAATTAATGTAATTCTAAGTAATTAGTATAATTAAGAAGGATTGGTTTGATTTGCATAATTTAGATAAACGATCATAATATACTTCAACAATTGAATTAAGGCCTTTTAGCCCCAGTTTCATAAAAATTATAATAGGCCCGAAAGTTCAAAACATTTAAATCTCCTTGAAATTGGTAGGCTAAAATATTTGGATAAATTTATGAGCTCTAAATTTTTCCTATGCTCTTGCTCTTGCTAAGGAAGATTTTAAGGAAGATACTTTTTCTTCATTTAGAAAGTGACTTTTTATTATAATATTGGTGATTTTACATTTTTGATATAGATGATGAGGTAAGAAGAAACTTGACACAGTCTTTTTATTTCAACATCATAGAATAATACTATGTCATTACTAAAGCCATTTTTAATTTGTATAACTTTTAGCTATTGATTCTTTTAATCAAAAAGATAATAATCTTCCAAACGTTGAAATATGTCTAATTAGAAAATCTTCTTAAATTTTAATGTAATTAATTGTAATAAAAAATAGATTGGGTAAACCACATAAATAAAAAAAATATTTACCCTTAATTCAAATTGCTTGGTGTTTAATAATGAAAATCCTTTATTTTTCGCAATTATGAATATAAACCGAATCATCAGTTTAAAAATTAAATAAATAGGCTAATGCATATATCTTAGATATATCTTACTTTTAAATTAATAACTTTTTAGAAATTAATAATAATAAATATCTTCTTTTTCCTCTTTCCATATACTCAATTTAATTGTGTCATTGTTATTATAATTTATAGAAAAGTTTTGTTGTTCAAATTACAAAATGCTTACTATAACTATAGTTGTTTCTTGCTTAAGTTAACAATCTTTAAGGATATAAAGCTCTTCCAATTACTCAATTTTCTCATTCTGCTTATTTTCATATATCATTTGAAACACTCATCTAATAATAAAGTGCTTGTGTAATCTAATTCTTTAATGAAATATATAAATTTTAATTTAGGTTCAATAAAGCCACTCATTGATAAATATCTATAAAATTATACACAATCTTACCATTTATCTATTTGATAAATAGGTTTTACATAAAATCGTCTAATCATATTGAAAATTCAACTTTCTTCTGATTATTGAATTTTTCTATTTTAATGCTTTTTAATAGATGAATGTTTTCATAATTATTCAATGTATCATCTCTCATATAATAATTATTCATTTTATTTATACATGTTATATAATATGTATAATTCAGAAACAATTAACAAATGATTTTCATTTAGATCATATCTTAATTTAATCTATTGAACATTGAAATATAAATAGGCATATTTTTATAAGGATGAGCAAAGGAATTTTATATTATTTCTTTATAAACACGTTCGAGTTTGTAGTAATCTTCTTCATCTCCTTCCAGTATAAAACAAACCATATGTTTGGTATCACATATAATTTTTGGATGCATTTGCAGAGACTAGCAAGTTATAGCTTCTTATATTATTCGAAGGATATGTATTCCAATAATTATGAACAAAAATCCACACATACTTAATATGTTATGAAAAAATATTTAGAAATTATGTTAACTAAAATCAGACCAAAAATAAGAAATAAATATGTGTTATATATAATTACAATGAAATTAATTAATTTAAGTTAATTATCGCCTGACTAAACAAAGAGCCATAGCGAGTATTTTCTGATAATTGTTCGAAATTATTGGTGTATATAAACAATATAGAGCATTAATTTAATTCTTTTAAAGACTTATAAATTATGATAGCCAAGCTGAATAAATGTTCGAATCATTAGACTCAATCTTCTTCTCAGAATAACTTCTTTTTCAATCTAAAAGGGTTTTGTAAGTTAATTGATCAATAATTAATAAATGTTGACTATATTCTCTCTCTATATTCCACATCATTTGATTCATCAAATTTAATTTTCCTCCAGATACCATTCTCTTTTATCAATAACAGAATATTAATCACTCTAGTCACTTCTGCTTTAGAATTGATTAGAAATGGTATATAAAGTAAATTTTTTATTCTGAAAATTAATTCTAAATTTAGGTCACTAAAACACAATTTAAAACATTTGGTTGAGATAAATTAGTAAACAAGGATTAATACAGTACAATCGATCTTTGTAATAAATTAAGTTCGAATAGTGTCAAATGTTTCTCTAGTACAGCTAACTAGCAGTTGATAATGCTTAAATTAATTTTATTAAAAAGATACATAAACTCTATTATCTATTAAAGATTAGCTCTTGATATAGAGTTCACATGCATCAAAACGATATGTTCTATTAAGAGAATAGTCAAGATAATTACTCAAATGGTAGCTGATAACATACAGCTTGAAAAACAGTAAAACATTGAGTACAATCTGTACTATCTTAAAATCAGTGTGTGATAAAACATTAAAGGTGAAATGTAACAGACAGCACAACCAGATATAAATCTGGAACAAGCATTTACATTTAGCAGTAAGTACTTCTACATAGAATGAAGGATCAAGCATCAAGTAGTTCAAATTTTAGACCCGATTTTGATAAATATCCTAAATAACAATAAAAGAAATTAGCGTGCAAAAATTTAGCATGTAGTAAAAGGGTGTTCACAGTCTTAAAATTAATTTATATATAGAAGGTCAAGGTCGGTATAAGGATATGAAGTGCAAGTAGCATAGCGTTGTATTTGAACAACATGAGAAAAGAACAACAGTGGTCAGCGTAATAATTTTATGATATTCACAAAGTTTACTGTTAGATGATATAACTAGAGGGTTGTTTTTAAGTTTGATAAAGTGTTTTCGATAACTTACAACTATATGTCTATCAGCACAGGATCTGCAATATAGAACACAAACTCGAATTTACATTAATAACATCCGTCTCCACTAACATAATTTCCATCATCGCATTATTCCATAGAAGAAATAGCTACTAAACCATCTCCACNGTTGTTCAAATTACAAAATGCTTACTATAACTATAGTTGTTTCTTGCTTAAGTTAACAATCTTTAAGGATATAAAGCTCTTCCAATTACTCAATTTTCTCATTCTGCTTATTTTCATATATCATTTGAAACACTCATCTAATAATAAAGTGCTTGTGTAATCTAATTCTTTAATGAAATATATAAATTTTAATTTAGGTTCAATAAAGCCACTCATTGATAAATATCTATAAAATTATACACAATCTTACCATTTATCTATTTGATAAATAGGTTTTACATAAAATCGTCTAATCATATTGAAAATTCAACTTTCTTCTGATTATTGAATTTTTCTATTTTAATGCTTTTTAATAGATGAATGTTTTCATAATTATTCAATGTATCATCTCTCATATAATAATTATTCATTTTATTTATACATGTTATATAATATGTATAATTCAGAAACAATTAACAAATGATTTTCATTTAGATCATATCTTAATTTAATCTATTGAACATTGAAATATAAATAGGCATATTTTTATAAGGATGAGCAAAGGAATTTTATATTATTTCTTTATAAACACGTTCGAGTTTGTAGTAATCTTCTTCATCTCCTTCCAGTATAAAACAAACCATATGTTTGGTATCACATATAATTTTTGGATGCATTTGCAGAGACTAGCAAGTTATAGCTTCTTATATTATTCGAAGGATATGTATTCCAATAATTATGAACAAAAATCCACACATACTTAATATGTTATGAAAAAATATTTAGAAATTATGTTAACTAAAATCAGACCAAAAATAAGAAATAAATATGTGTTATATATAATTACAATGAAATTAATTAATTTAAGTTAATTATCGCCTGACTAAACAAAGAGCCATAGCGAGTATTTTCTGATAATTGTTCGAAATTATTGGTGTATATAAACAATATAGAGCATTAATTTAATTCTTTTAAAGACTTATAAATTATGATAGCCAAGCTGAATAAATGTTCGAATCATTAGACTCAATCTTCTTCTCAGAATAACTTCTTTTTCAATCTAAAAGGGTTTTGTAAGTTAATTGATCAATAATTAATAAATGTTGACTATATTCTCTCTCTATATTCCACATCATTTGATTCATCAAATTTAATTTTCCTCCAGATACCATTCTCTTTTATCAATAACAGAATATTAATCACTCTAGTCACTTCTGCTTTAGAATTGATTAGAAATGGTATATAAAGTAAATTTTTTATTCTGAAAATTAATTCTAAATTTAGGTCACTAAAACACAATTTAAAACATTTGGTTGAGATAAATTAGTAAACAAGGATTAATACAGTACAATCGATCTTTGTAATAAATTAAGTTCGAATAGTGTCAAATGTTTCTCTAGTACAGCTAACTAGCAGTTGATAATGCTTAAATTAATTTTATTAAAAAGATACATAAACTCTATTATCTATTAAAGATTAGCTCTTGATATAGAGTTCACATGCATCAAAACGATATGTTCTATTAAGAGAATAGTCAAGATAATTACTCAAATGGTAGCTGATAACATACAGCTTGAAAAACAGTAAAACATTGAGTACAATCTGTACTATCTTAAAATCAGTGTGTGATAAAACATTAAAGGTGAAATGTAACAGACAGCACAACCAGATATAAATCTGGAACAAGCATTTACATTTAGCAGTAAGTACTTCTACATAGAATGAAGGATCAAGCATCAAGTAGTTCAAATTTTAGACCCGATTTTGATAAATATCCTAAATAACAATAAAAGAAATTAGCGTGCAAAAATTTAGCATGTAGTAAAAGGGTGTTCACAGTCTTAAAATTAATTTATATATAGAAGGTCAAGGTCGGTATAAGGATATGAAGTGCAAGTAGCATAGCGTTGTATTTGAACAACATGAGAAAAGAACAACAGTGGTCAGCGTAATAATTTTATGATATTCACAAAGTTTACTGTTAGATGATATAACTAGAGGGTTGTTTTTAAGTTTGATAAAGTGTTTTCGATAACTTACAACTATATGTCTATCAGCACAGGATCTGCAATATAGAACACAAACTCGAATTTACATTAATAACATCCGTCTCCACTAACATAATTTCCATCATCGCATTATTCCATAGAAGAAATAGCTACTAAACCATCTCCACAATATTGATAACGCCTATAATCTATTAGTTGCCAATCATTAAGACATTAATAACATTTATTTTCAACAAAGTTTAAGCCTTCCAATAAGCAACTTTATTAGCATTTATAGCATTCATCAAACTAGATGTTGCTTTAGTCCTCATATACTTCTTTTTTCTATTACAATTCCATCATTACAAATGGAATACATGCCAATCTATTATATTACAATCCATAATTATCATCATACTCTAGAGATTTATTATAAATACTTTCTTTACAATTTGTTATTGCTGCTCTACATTAGAGGAATTATCAATTTTTATTTAGAGTTTCCTTATTAAAGAGATTATGTTAATCATCTAAAGTATTATAGATTTCAAATATTTTAATGAATTTGATATTCATTAATCTCAATTTAATTAAAATGACCATTCTCAATCAATTGGTTATTCTTTTATAAAAACTTCTATTTTTTTAATCTTCCTAACTCTTAGATCTATCCCAAATATATTTACACTACCCATCTATTAATTCATATTTTGGCAAACAAACATTATTTCCATTTTCAAATTGGCATCACTAAAATTCAATGGACATGAATATTTGCACGTATTCCAATCTAATTTATAGCCATTATCACTCACATCACATGTAATAATTAAATCTCCACATTTCTTTTTTACTTATTTTATTTATTTCATTCATCTTATCCTAAGAATTTCAACTTAAAAATGGCCATACCAATTCATTTACATATTCATGCCATCCTTGTTAACATTCCAAACATTCATTTCACACACAGTTTGCACAACCTTCAACACAATCGTAAATTTTAGCTAAGCATCCATTAAAAGGATAGATATTGTTATCAAAGCAAAAATCTTCGTTTAAAATTGGTCTAATAAATAATGAAATTTCTCTAATTTGAGCCTTAGAAGATTAGGATGAATGACATACTGTCTAGGGTTTCATCGTTTTTTTTTAAATTAATTAAATTATGTTTATGTGTGGATATTATTAGATATTAATCTGAGTTATGATTAAATTGTAATAAATAGTATAACCATTAAGAAGTGATACTTACTGATTAAGATTTGACAACTACTAATTGATCATCAATTTATATATCATATTAACGATATTAAGTGAAGCTTATTAGTTTCATTGATACGCTAACAGGATCATGAGATGATAACTATATTTTTTTAGTAGAATCCTTAGTCAATAATTAACAAATTTAATAATCTAATATCATTATGAAATACCTCCTATTGTAGCTATACTATTGTACATAAGCCAATTATCCTACAACCATCCTTTGTTAAAGTCAACCTAAGTGAATAATTTAGTTGTAAAATATTAAAAATAATATTTAATTAAAGCACTATCTGGACATTTTTCTATGAATAATTGAAAATTAAAAATTCCCCAATATCTATAACCTGTTATTCCTATTTAAGCTATTGGGTTTGAAAGGTCAACTTTGAAATCGGGCTGAAAAACTTCATTATACTAAGTTGTTCAGCAGTGATTGCTTATACTTGTAGAATTATCATAATTTTAATTATGCTATTCAATAATATCTTTACAAAATTTAAAAGGATCTCCACCAACAGTGAATTCTATGATTATATCTAAATAAAGTCTCCAAGTCAAAATTTAATTTAAACGAACCTCCAAAACCTAAATTTTATTTAGTTTAATGTGGTTGATTTTTCTATGAAAACGTTAATTTTAAAGCAATTTAACCTCCAAAAATCAACATGAACCGAAAAATGTTGAAGAATAGCATGAGTTATAGTAGTTTTAAAAGCAAGCTAATTAAGAATATCTAAAGCTTCCATTAATGGTGCTTGGAAAATAATTTTGATATTCAAAGGTTTCCGACTAGGATCTTGTTAGAAGGTGCAAAAAGACTAGGCTTTTTAAAATATTCGTCTCTTCAAAAGAAATTGCTTGAAATATTTAAAAATACAATTACTATTTTTTGTGTTTATAGTAAAAAAATAACAACCTCTAATGAAACATTTTGTCCCTTTTCAAAGGAATTTTTGATACTTCTATTATAAATAATTGAATTAATACAATATTTATCTGAAGAACTTGTAATCATCCTACAAAATTGAATCTATAATAGCAGAACTTTTTCCTCAAGAATAATAAACTTAAATATCAAGTGTAATGAATATCTAAGTAGTACATCTAGATATTAAGTGGCAATTTAGAATTAATACACAATATATCTTTGAATACTTTTTTCACCCATTGTAATTCACTTGAATAACATATCCTTATCACCTCTTAGCAAAATAAAAAAATATACCAATAATGAATTGATGATCTAATGATGATTCTATTTCACTTAATCGCATGCTCATTTATTAAGAACTAAGAAGCAAAGACGTTTTTAATCCAAAGTCACTCAATTAGCAGTTAACCAAAATAAAAAAACAAAGTGTTACTATCAATAGAGAATTTAAAGGAAATATTGTTCCAAAAATTATATGAAACTAATATAGTTAAGAAAATTATTGCAATTCAAAAGATTAATCAGAAATCATAGAATGATAAACTAATTTCATCTAAATTATATACAAATAGTGCCAAGTATTAATTTAGATGCATGTTGAACTTATGCAAATATATACTGAAGTTGGATATTTCTTGCCTCACATTTCTTAAAAATTTTGTTCGAAATCTTTCAATAAATTTGGAAATTAACTTTTTGAGATAGTCAATAATTTACTCGAAGTATTCCTTATTACAATTACAATTTTTATATTATTTTCCAGCCAGCTTTCTTTGCAGCTTAGAGATGCATATAGTCCAATTTAAACTCCCTCTCAAGAATTTATACCTGACACTACAAGCTTCAGTGGAATGTCTAAGAGTGCCAGGGATCTCAAACTACTGGTTGTATTGTCCATCCATCTATATTATAAGTGAAGATAGAATCAGATAAATTAAAATTTTTGCCTTTGAGTTTTGAGCTCTTAAAAAATATACAAGTAAAATTGTATTTGCAACTGTGTTATTATTGTTTCAACTGAGCTACAACCGTAAATTCTATCACTTGATATGAACTTGTTAAATTTCTAGTATTCTGAATTTTTATTAATCAGCACAACTTTGCAGTTTGTATTTTAAGAGTTCTGTGAGAAAGTTCATGATTTTTAATTCTTAGTACTTTCATAGCATTATTTCAAAAAGCTGTAAAAGGAAGAAATTATTAATTAGGAAAAAAAAGGTAAAAGAATTAAGGTACAAATAAATTTTAAACTCAAAATTCAAAACACAACTTTTAATCTTTTTTTTGATAATATTAAATAGTTGGCTTGCTATATCCTTTTCATTTCTTTACCAATGACATCATAGTTGCTGAATAACATCTTGTATTTAACTTGTAAGGAGTGTTGCATATATTAGATTAAGAGAAGTTATCAATAAATATGTCTTGATTTTAAAGGAGTCTTGATAAGGTTGAATGTTAATCTTTAAATTAATGTTAAATTCCTTACATTGACAAGTAATCGAGATTATTATGATAAATAGTATAATAAATAGGTAATCAACTATAAGTTTGGAATCCAATTAGAAGTGAAGTCAACCAATTTAGGTATCATATTATTGTGATACTTCCTTTTGATTTATGTCTGAATATGGTACAAATTGGAAAGATTATTGCAATGTAGATTAGGTTTATAATAATTGAGAGTACTATATGCAGATTCAAGCTTTTAATTCACTTTTCGTTACGCTTTTTTGGTAATCGCTTACAAAAAGTCCTACTTGAAAAACTGACAGATTGTAATTATCACAAAACTCCCTAAATGTTTTCACTTTCTTGATTAAATTAAAACTTAAGCTATTTTATTGACTGCAAAGCTTTTCGTTTATTTGGTCATATATTATTAGATCATGACGATAAATCAACCATGATCATTGTGATAAACTGAATGAATCTTATTTAGAAAATAATTTGATTTTTTTTAAATTGAGAAGGTTATAGAAAGTTTAAGTAATAATTTTCAAAATATTTCTGGTTAAGCAGATTCCTATATAAATTGACTATTTTAAGTCAGTATTTTGGTTTATCTTATCCAAGCATTACTATACAGCTTAAGAGCTTTTAATACAATTGTCATTTATTTATCATTTATAATTGATGTTTTAATTATGGAAAATACTCAATTAGAAGATTACTATGTATTTATTAATCAATCTATTTATCATTATTTTTATTACCCGAAAGGAAGAAAGATTTAGATTTTTTATTCCTGTTTAAGAAGGTAATAAAATCAATAATAATAAGATACATTTATTTTCATTCCATACTAATTCATAGCATATTCATTTCTAGCGTTTCTTATGAAATTTGCATATCAGGTGATGAGGAAGATTACTGTAAACTAAAAGTATTGATAAAACTATTATA